CCATGATTCTCCGGAAGATTAAATTTAATATCATTGATGTGTTTAAGTGTTTTTTGTGTGTTTAGGCTGAACTGACGAGAACAAACGTCTGTGATGAGTCACTGAGTTTCCTCGTCCGTCGGCGTCTCTGGACGTGTGGCTGCTTGTCTGAATTATGTTTGTCTGTCACAACTCAGAAAATGTAACAGAGCAGGAAAGAAAAGAGCGACAGCGCCATTAACTCATCTATCTGAAGCTTTATTTAAAAAATGGAGGAGGTGGGGTTCATGGCTTCGCTTTTGTGAACGGTCATATTGTCCTTATCTTTCTTGGACATCCACAGAACACAGGGTCTTCACTTTCTTCCCGTCTTCTACCAAACCTCACCGGACGCCGCCTCTTTAAATCCCAGTTTAACCTCCGCCACACGTCGTAAACGAATCCTCCGCGTTATTAGCCCTTGATTATGATCGCATGTTTGTGACGGACAGGTGACAGGTGTTACAGCCTCCGAGCATCGAGCCGTCAGGTGAGTGGACGAGCTGCACATGGTCACACCGTCCAGCTCGGTCCGCTCTGCTCCTGCAGCTCTATATAAGGTTGTCGGTCTCTCCAGTGGAAAGACAAGCAGGGCGGCATGGGTCAACGCACACACACACACACACATGCACATGCGCACCTTATATGGGAGAGAAGGTCTGTGGAAAATGTTGGTGTTAAACAACAGAGCGTGAAATTCCTCCTTTCCCTTAAATCCAGACTAAATCTCCCGGAGCCGACAGTCATGTTTGGTTTGGAGCGAAGCTGCGGCTCGGACACAACCTGAAAACTCATCATCCCACAACGTCCACGGTCACATCAAACCTCTGTCTCCAGTTTTTCACTGGTCGACCAATTTGTCTGATTTAACGTTTATCGACTTCAGATGAGACGTCACGGAGCCACGAGTCAGAAACAACGAGGGGGGATCAAACCTTCCTCAGGTTTAACATGAAATGATGTTTCTGACGTCTATTGATTACATCTCGTCGTCCGCTCTTCCTCTGCAGGGGTTGAGAGCTGCTACTTGTTAGCCGCAGCTCGATGGCTGCCAGGAAACCCATCAGACCAATCAGGAGTCCAGATGTTCTGGCTTCAGTCCGAGAGCTGTCGCGTCGTTCAGACGTAGCGGTGGAAAGTGACACCAGTGTTCACTCTTCTCCTGTCAGCTGACAGTTCACCTGCAAATATTATGTTAGCTTCTTGTCCTGCTACGTATTTTGGTTTGCGAACAGCTAGCCTTGCTAAAGTTAGGTTCTGTTGACCTTGTGTTTCTTAAGCTAGCACTTGTATCGTCATGTTAACTGCGTCTCCTCACAGCTGATAGTTACCCTACGAATGATTCGTTAGCTTCAACGTCTGACTACTTATGCTGGGATGCTAGTAGCTAACCTGCGCTAGCTTCGCTTGGCCCTGTATTAAGATAGCTTAGCGGGCCGATACGCTGTCATAGTATTTACGTGTAATGAGATTTAAACTTTAAAAAACATTTCAATCCTGAAAACCACCACAGATGAAAAGTAGTAAACAGTGATGACCTCGTGTTTTTAACATTTTCATCTGTCACCTTTAATTACGACTCGTCTTCCTCCTCCTCCTCTTCGTCCTCCTCCTCTTCATCGCTTTGCTCCAGTTAAACGACCTCGTCCATCACGGGGCGGCTTCAGATTCAGCTTCAAATGGAAAATCCCCCCCCCCCCTTCCCCTTTTGTGTTTTTTTTAAGATCTTCTCCGTATTTAGACAGCTGTCTTTTTCTAAATCTGTCCATCCACTGAGCCCACATCACTTCAAAAGGTAGACACAACTGTGTCACACACACACACACACACACACACACACACACACACACACACACACACGATGTACAGTCAGAGAAACATCAACTCTCTCTCGTCTTTTAAACTTTGTGACTTTGTGTTTTAAATTGAATACTTTAAATAGTCACTGACACAAAACTTTAACTTGAAGTCATTCAACTTTTCCCCATCAGAACTTTATATTTTCAACAACTGACTTGTATAAATAACTTTGTGAGGTGTTGTGGGTCAGGAACCTGTTTCCTGGACCTTCGGTTCAGCGACAGTTTCGTATTTAGGTTTGTTCACTGAGTCAAACATTTGACTGTGTCCAGAAATGAAGCTCAGCGACTGAGGCACAAGTGATATTGAACTCTGACATCACATTAACATTAGGAGCTGGTTCGTTGAGTTTCAGGAGTTGGTGTCGTTATCACGTCTGTAGACTGAACACACACAGACACACACACTCACACTGAGGGGGTCTAGATTTATTCCACAAGCCTGAACGGAAGTTTTACACCTCACCAGAAACAATTGCGCGGTTGGCCCATCTTATACATCGCCACGGTGACCACAGACTGCCTGCTGTCTCCATGGAAACCACAGGCACACACACACACACACATGATACAGTATATCTATAAATGGACGGGACGGGCGGAGTGAGCAGACTACTAATTGTAAACATTGACACAGTGTTAGTTTGTTCATTCTCTTATTGGATAAACTTGAAAACGAAGCATTGACGTTTCATTTCTCGATCCCGACATCACGAGCTTCTGTTTCCGACAACTTCGGTCTGAAGAAACGATTCAAAGTGATGAAATAATTCATTTAAAGTATCTTGAAGCTTCTTTAACACATGTATTTACGAGTGCCCGTGTGAACTTGGTTTCATCCATATCTATAAAATGCTCTTTTCTTATGTGATTGATTATCATCATTATCAGAACATGGACGAGAGAAGAACCGAGGAAACTTTTGACAAAAACTTTTGTTGAGCGACAGCGGTCTTTCTACTGCTGAAATGTGTGTGTGTGTGTCCATCGTTGACTTTCACTCACTCACTGGCCACTAACATGGTGGAGGCAGCTCAGTGAGTCTCCTTCTACTGTTAAATAACCTGCGGCTTTAACAGCTGAAACAGGAAGTCCTGTCAGCATGACACTCACACACACACACACTCAGTCTACACTTGGACGGTGATGGTGTACTCAGATATTTTATTTGATTAAAAGTAACAGTATCACAATGTAAAAAGCTCTGGATATGAAAAACTATCATCAGAAAATATTCAATTAAAGTACTTATTGAAGTACTTACCCTGCAGATATATACATGTATACATACATTAACTATTGCATTTGCAAGTTTTTAAACATTTGCTGTCAGCTGATGGAAAATGAAGACGTTATTCAGTAAATGTATTCAGCTCTCGCAGTACTTGAGTAAATGTACTTAGTCACCCGTCACTTCTATATTCTGCCGTGTCTTCACACATTCTCATCGAATACTGTGGTTGACGATAAGACCACAAACTTCCTCATCTGCCGTCTTCACCAGCTGCAGGTTCTCTTCACCCTGAAACTGTCGAAACTGTTTTCAAATCCGACAGAAAAGAGCAAAAATGACGTAGAATCCTGAATTCACGTAAAAACACAAAAGTCTTCACGCAACGAAGACGCAGAGCGACGACGTCTTTCTCGCCGTCAGCTCCTTTCATTCTCGAAACAGTCCCATGATTAAAAATCGATCAACAGACTAGAGACGGACGACGTGACAGCTCCCTAATGTGAAGTAAAGTCATCTTGATCGCCCCCTGGTGGCTGGCTGCAGTATAGGTATCATAAACCCTGCCTCCTCCATGTTAACTGATGGGGTGTGGACCAAACTCAAAAGACAAACTGCATGTTAAATAAATGTTTGTCAAAGATGGTTTCACAATATGGCCGCATTCGTAGCTGAGTATTTTTTGGCTTCATTTCCGGAGTCGGTGGGAGGAGGTGGAGAGTTTCAGAAGATCAACCTGTCGCCTGTGTTGAATGAGGAATATTGATCATCTCAGTTATGCTTCAGTAAAAGTTTCACAAAAAACACAACACTGCGGCGTTAATCCCCTGAAACGCCCGAGTCGAGCTAGCCATTGTTAGCACAAACCACTTCATAACAACACGTTACGCTGCATGTCTTCGCACGCTAACATCGTAGTAAAATGTCTACGGACAGTAACGGGATCATGCGTACGACACGTTCAGTTACAGAAGTGCTGATAAATAGTACCTCAGATACCGTTGATATATGGAGCGGCCATCTTGGATTTCAAAGTTGGGGGTTGGTGAGGTTCCTCCGACTTTGTGAGTCTGTGATTTCGGACTGAAGGGGGCGCTGCAGTTTCTACCTCGGGGGTCGGAGAGTCTGAGCTCCGAGCTTTAATGGAATAAATATCAGACGGAGTCACGTCTTTGTTTTCATGACATTATAACTTTATTCTTAGTTTCTCCTCAACCGCGGCTTTTTGTCTTGAAGTATTAGTGATGATGATGATGATGATGATGATGGTGGTTTCATTGAGTGAACTGATCTTGTTGAGGTGATGAAGAACACGAGCAGCAGCTGAAACTGAGGAAACAAAGAGTGAGGAAACTTTTTTTTTTTTTTGGTTTCTGTCGCTAAACTTGTTTGTTTTGGTTTGAGGGGACCGTGACGTGCCCGTGCGCGCGGCCCTGCTGGTATAACACGCTCTGCATGGTTGCAGCTTGTGTGTGTGTGTGTATGTGTGTGGGTGGGTGCGTGTGCGCCCTCGCGGCAGTTGTTCTGTCAGTTATCAAAACTTCACTTCCGGGTTTTTATTACCGGAGTCCTCCGCGTGCACGCTCTCTCACACACATTGACACACAGAGAGAGAGAAAGGGAGAAAGAGAGAGAGAGAGAGAGTCAGTGATGTGTCTCTTCACCTCCGCGTGTGCACGCTTTGACACACAGACAGACACACACTCGCAGGACTCGTGTGTGTGACACGGACTCAGCTGTTTGTCAGTGAGTGTGTGTTGTTGTTCTGCAGGTTTGTGTGGTTGTGAGTCTGTTTTGCAGAACCCGGCAGTGACTGAGAGAGAGAGAGAGAGACACTCAACTTCTCCCGAGACACGGAGGACAGAGGAGGAAGAAGAACAGAAGAAGACCAAAAGAAGAAGAGAGGAACAGGAGGACAGAAGAAGAGAAGAGGACAAAGTTCCTCTTCTCCTCCACCTGCGGCTCGTGTCTCTGTCCTGATCCCGGATCAGCTGCAGGATGTCGGACTCTGCCTCCAGTTTCCTTCATATCGGAGACATCGTGTCTCTTTATGCAGAAGGATCTGTCAATGGCTTCATCAGCACCCTGGGGTGAGTCTGTCTGTGTCTGTCTGTGTCTGTCTGTGTCTGTGTCTGTCTCTGTCCCTGTGAGCCTGTTTGTGTGTCTGTGAGTCAGTTTGTGTGTCTGTCTGTGTCTCTGTCTGTGTCTCACCTGTGGAGGACAACACCTGGGCTGATGTGAGCTCAGAGTCCCGCCACTGGCAAAGAATAAAACACTTGTTAATTATAAATGTGAAGTCAGAGCTCAGGTAATAAAGGTAGATTTCAACACTTTATGTCTGTGGGACACACACACACACACACACACACACACACACACACACACACACTCTCTCTCTCTCTTCTCTAATGAATCAGTGAAACATTCATTCATTTGATTTGTTTGTTTCATCGTCCTGATGATTCATATTCATCATCTTTTATCACATTGTTCATTTCCACTGGAATTTAAAAGTCATATTGTTTCTCTCACTGATGTTTAGTTTCTTTTCTTGATTTAACGTCAGTTCAGATTCCTCAGTTCTGTCCTGAAGCAGCAGACCTGACAACAGTCGTGATGATAATATGTTTTTCTAATTATTCAACGGCACTTTTCTAATCTGTGGAGGACACCTCATGAGAACACATGAGCACAGGGGACACAAACACCTCACTGCAACATAATGTGACGCAACAAGAGTCAAACTCAGGATTAAATCCTCAGCAGAATCTCTCATCGGCTCATATACGGACTTTATCTGGAGTTTTTACCCAGAATCAGAGAATCTGACTCTGACATTCGTGTTCTCGGCCCCTCCAGATAATTCCAGGAGATTCCCCAGAGGTCAGACCTCTGACCTAAAGCCCACTGGTCTTGTCTGCAGCAGACACCAGGTTTTTATCTGCTCAGATCAGCAGCGATGGAAACGACACACTCGGGTGCCCAACGCTCATTTTGGCGTGTTGAGAGAGAGAGAGCGCTTTACGAAACCTGCGTCTGCCTGCGTCTGTAAAAGAGGCAGCTCATCATAACGTGAAGACAAGAGGGAGTAGACGTAGAACCAGAGACAGATGTGGTTTGAGTTGTGATGTGAAGCGTCTGTGAGAGTCCAGATGTGAGGCGGGCGGAGAGTTTCAGGTCGGGGGTGCAGAGACGAGGGGTTTGAAGATGAGCCGTAGGGTTTTGTGGCGTGTTCTTTATTGACCTGGACCCGGAGGATGAGGAGCGGTGCGGGTTCGGTTTCACCTGTTTCTACATATGTGGCTCTCAAACATGAATCATCCATCAAAACCGGGATGATTTTCCACAACCGCGTCGGTGTCACGTGACCTCACAGCGACCACAGAGTGACCTCCTGGATGAAACACAGTGACATCACAGAGCAGATGAGATACTCAGGGAAACACCGGCGAGACGAGGAGATTCAACCGACAGCAGGAAACTCAAACAGCCTCACAGAGACGGAATCATTTTACATATTTAACATAAAACAACAAAAAAGACTTTCAACACCATGTAAAGAAAATTCTGATCTTTATATTTACAGTTTTTCTTTCTACTCCACGTTTCTTTAATCTCAATAATCTCGTGTTGCTTTAAATGTCGTCCCTGCTCTGACCCTAACGCCACACTGGTGACCTTCCTTCACACAAGGATGTACTTTGCTTTTTTAATTCTTTAATGATCCGGTGACGTGTCAGATTTTCTTCAGGTGCAATTTCAGGGTCTTTTAAAAGTTTCCGGCTTTTATTCCACATCATGATCGTGACGTGTGAGAAGTTTCTAACTTTTATCTTTTTATTCTTATCGTCCACAGGAATTGTACTTTTCTGCTGGTTGTTAGTTTTTATGAAAAGGGACAATTTTCTTTCTTTTTTCTCGTAAACTGCGCAGACACACACACACACACACACACCCACACACCCACACACCCACAGACACACACACACACACACACACACACACAGTGGCAGCGGCAATGTCTAATTGTATGGCAGGAAAAGGAAGTGGTACAAAGTATGTCCAAGAGAGATTTCCATTGTGCCAGTGTGTGTATATGTGTGCGTGTTTGTTTCCTGTGCTGTGGTCTTGTCTCGTGTGTGTGTGTGTGTGTGTGTGTGTGACTCGATCTTGACCTTTTTCAGTTTCTCTTTGCTCCATCGTTGACTTTCACTCGAAAACAGCAGCTTCACACACACGAACACACACAGACCCCCCCACACACACACAGAGACCCACGAACACACACACACACACACACAGACACACACACACACAGACAGACACACATGCTCTTTACAGCGTTGGAGCGTTCACTCAATGATCTCTCTCCTGACGAGGACGTGTGTGTGGGTTAGTTAACGCAGGTGTGAAGCTGCTGGAAACTAAAAGAAAACAACACAATCCCATTTTTAACGTCACATCACTGACTTCCTGTCGCCTCCAGAATAAAGGTCAGACGTCTGTTAATGAGGTCGACCCGATAGCTGAAAGGTCAGAACGTGTTTGACTCACTCTGGACATTTATCGCTCGTCAGCGCCCCTCTCTCTTAAGTTTCCTGTTTCCGTCCAAATATCTGTCAGACTGATTTATCTGTAAGTGAGATAGAATCACTGACACAACATTTTTAATATTAATATATCGGCCGGGTTTTCATCGGTTCAGTTCTGAATCTGTTCTGAACGAGCTCTGAAGTCGAGTCAGCTTTTCTAAACCTCAGTTTGTTTTGTGGAACTGAAACTGTGAAGGAAATAAACTTTATTTTCCTTCAAATGAAAAATGAAAACCTTTTGAAATAGACCTGTAGGGTTTGATATCTAAGATTACTTTTTATAGTGTGAAGAACGCTACTCACATAAAAGTGTTTATTGTTATAGTGGTGTGATAATAGCATTATATTGGTATATTATTATTGTTATAATATTGGGACATTACAGGTAACAGTCAATCACTTAAGCTGCTAACCACAAACATGTTAACAGCATCTGGCATGAAGTCAGGAAACAGAAATGTAAATAATCCTCCACCTGTTTGATCAAACAGAGAGAACACCACCCACCTGAGGTCTGACACTAAAATCACAAAGAACAGACTCAGGACTCGTTCACACCTTGTTTGATTCTGACCTTCGGACTTTTCAGTTTAGTCTGAACCTGAATATCAGGTGAGAAATGTTCAGGACCACGATCCAGAGTACAGGTCGGAAAATCTTTACGCGTAGGAGAAAACGTGGAGCGAAGCACGGAGGAGGATTTCGTTTCCTCTCACTTCTTGAAAACAGAAAACATTGGATCCATCCAAACCTGAGAAGTCGTCAGGAACAAGGAGAATTTCATCTTCATCTAATTTCACTTCCAACTCTGTTCCAGGACGTCAGAGGTCCAGTTTGATTCATTACCAGCTCGGAGACCAAACATTAAAAGGAAGAAGAGATCTCATCTCTGGGATCCAGTTGATCCCGAGCAGCTCAAATAACTTTCTGGAACGACTTTGGCAAATTGAAACTCTTTTGAAGCTCCAGAGTTTGTCTCTTTCATGTGACTGACCGAACATGGTCAGTCCGAGCAGCAGAGGAGTTCTGGGTCTGGATCCAGCTGAACCATGGTTCTGTTCGTTCACACAGTGAAAACACTTTGTTGGATAGTTTGGACTTTTAAACCATAGAAGAAGAAAAAGAGCACTGCTAATAATACCGTCATGATGTCACCATGGCAACCAAATGAAGCGTTTCATTCATTTCAAACAAAACCACTACTACCCCCCCCCCTACTGACGATACGCAATGTGAAACTAAAACAGATCAAATGAAACAAACGTGAAGCTTCAGACTCGGCTGCGATCACACGCATCGTTTCTATGTTTTACTTGTGAAGAGATTTTATCGGATCAGAAAAGAAGTCGCAGCAAACTGGCCAAAAGTGTCCGGACGCACAAATGTCCGTTCGAAGCATTTGAGTAACTGAAGCTTGAGCTCAGATGATCCGGATCATGCATTTGTCTCCCTGAGACAGAAACACCGAAACCAAACTGCCTCAGTTTGTCGTCCTGCAGGTTCAGCCTCTCAGCAGAGATGGAAAACACATGTATTCAAATGTGCCGATCCATATTCAAATCTGCTGTCCTGCACGACGAGGGGGAGGGAGAGGAGGAGAAGACAAAACAAACCACATTGTCCAGTTTGAGCGAGAGACACAGAAACAGAGTCTGAGAGGAAACAGACCAACAGAAGACGTTTTCTGGACAGTTTCTGCCGTCAGTGTTTCTCCTGTGAGGTTTCCAGACTCACTCTTGTACCAGGGGGCTGCAGGCAAAGCTCCAGAACATTTCCAGAGCAGCGGACTCAGATGTTGGTGTTCTCACATGCAGCCCCTCCAGAAAACCTCTGGAAAACCTCTGGAAAGTGTCTGAAAGCAGAAATGTCAAGAATCATCAGTCCGATGCTGAAAAAACTCTAAGAAACTTAATCTAACTTGTTTCTGATTCGCTCGGCAGGAGTTTAAACAAAGAGAGAGAGAGAGAGAGAGAGAGAGAGAGAGCAGCGGTTCAGTCGAGCTGATGAAGTCCACATACCTGAGACGTCCTCAAAGACACGCTCACACCTGGACGCCACACAAAAGAACTGATTGGCTGTTGTCATAGCGATGGGGGACTCTGTGGGCGATGAGAGAGAAAAAACCTCAGAAGTGAAAAGATCAAAACAAAGGAAAAGACCGAAGGAGTGGAAGTGAAGAGGGGGAGGAAAAAAGGAGCACAAGGGAAAATCAAGAGGTTAAAGCAACGATGACGGAAAAAAAACAAGAGAGAGAGAGAGAGAGAGAGAGAAAAGAGACGGAGAAGAGAAAAGTGAAGACGTGTCTGGAAAATAGAAAGTAAAGAAAGACGAGAAGAAAGAAAAAGGTTTTTGCATCAAATGTATTAAGTTTTGATCACATTTCTTTTTATTCCTCCTGATCCAGGAAAAGTTCTCTGGAAATAATCTCTGAGCCTCAACGTGAAATAATCTAAAATATTCATTTTACTGAGGGATTATATGGAGCCGATGCCAATAATATATATATATAAATATGTATTAAAAACATTGTCAATGATTTCTTACATTTTAATCACAGAACTATAAATAGAAAGAAAACAAACATAAAGCTAAATATATAAAACTTAAATGAACTGAAATACAAACCGATTTTTCATGTGGAATATTTTCTGCATTTATTTCACAGAATAAAAGTCGAACTATTTCTTTCACTTCTCTGTTTTCAGAGCTCAAACGAGGCTCGGGGCTGTTGGATGTTTTATTTGAACAGAGCTCATGAGAGCGGCTCGTTGGACGGACGCTGCTCAAATATCTTCACGATCATTTGCAGACACCTGCTTTGTTTACAGGCTGTGGTTTAGGTTTTGAATTGGTTTGTAAAAGGTTTGACTGAACCAACACTCAGGATTATTATTCCTATAATTCATTTCAACTTTCACCTTCCTGCTCCGTTTCAAGATTATTATACTACACACACACACACACACACACACACACACACACACACACACCTGACGACGCCTCAGTTACACTTAATTCCATTCATCCAGTTAATGTGTGTGTGAATGGACAGGTAATCCTTCTGACTGCAGCCGGTCTGCTGCATGAAAAGAGACTGTGAGTGTGTGTGTGTGTCTGTCTCCGCTGAGCCCCCCCCCACCACCTGTTTCCTAAACACTGATGGTAAAAGGGATTTTCTCTAATGACCCCCCTACACACACACACACACACACACACACACACACACACACACACAGTATGTCTCTCTCGGTGAGGACGCTCATTAACATAATGCATTCCTCAAACTAAACCTGAATCCTGCAGGAACCTTGAAAAAGTACTTTGAAGTTATGAGAACCGACAGAAATGTATTTTAAGAGTTGGTGAGAAGATCCACCGATGAACCCTTGAGCTCGCTGACGTCTTCATGAGCGTCTCTTCTCTCTGTCCACAGGTTGGTAGATGACCGCTGTGTGGTCGAACCCGGCGCCGGAGATTTGGAGAATCCTCCAAAGAAGTTCAGAGGTCAGAGTGTGCGCTTTGTGTAGATGTATGAATAAACATATATATATATATATATATGTATGGGTTATATATATGCATATGGGTTCAGTTGGTCACGCCCGGCTCTGTGGCTGTAATGTTTGAATAAATCTCTGCTAGTTAAAGTCAAAACAGAAGCTGCAGGATGAACGGTTTTATGTTTTATTTATTTAGTTTGTCCTCTTTCACTGAGTAAATTCACTAATTGATTAACAAGTGTACTGACAACTGACAACTGACAACTGACAGTCCAGCTACACTTGTAATTCATCCATGTTGTGTTCCACCCCCCCCAGGAAATAGATGGTAAAGTCAGAACTAGGTGAACATATTATATATATTATATATATATATATATATTACATTCTACAGATCTGAAACCAGAGAAATATTTTTTCAGGTTACAACCGGACACATATGATGTCAAAAGATCAGAACTGTAGGATCAGTGAAACAGGAAGTGGTTGTGAGTCATCGTTTCCAAACATCTCAGTTTCTGCCCGTCCAGAATAAAACGCAGCCCCGGAGTTTTCAAACTAGAACGAGTCCCAGCAGCGTTTCATAGTTTCTCCTTCTCAGCGTCTGTAAAACTCTGGAGCCGCAGAATGTCCGCGTTCATATCCTGTATCTTTTGGCGTCTTTCCTGGACGGCGGGAGGAAGTGGAGATGTGTCGGCCATCTTTATTTACAGTCCTTGGTTGTGAGCAGTTTGTCTCAGACACAAATGTTGACAGCTGTCGGGACGTTCGCTGCAGTTGCCCGTCGATGTTTTGCAGCTCGATGACTTCGTCGGCCGTCTCACGCTCTTCATGTAAAAATGTTCAGTTGCTCGTGTTTGCTCTTCATCTCCTGAAACCTGGCGCCAGAGGAGCCTGAAGGAACTCAGCGTTATATTCACGGTGGTAACAGGCTTTTGTTTAAAGAGTTAGCACAATGTTTGGTTTGAATTAAAATAGAGGTCGAGCAGTTTTAAGTTTTAAGTCATTTCATGGAAATTGGTTGAGTTCGACTCCGCGTCACGTCTCTGCTGTGAAAACCAGACGACTCCACGAAAACCTCCAGAGTCGTGTATGAAAAATAAATGAGCAGGATCGATTCCAGCTGAAATCATCAGAGATACACACACACACACACACACACACACACATATATTTTTATATATACAGCAGCGTGTTACCATCTGCTCTGTTTGAGATTCTGGACGTCGCTCATTTGAACTAGTTTAGAAGTAGAACAAACTTAGTGACTGAAACTTTAAATCTAGAGCAACGCACGCACACACACACACACACACACACACACACTCACACACAGTGAAAGTTATTAAGCTACAGGATCTGCTGGAGGAGAGTAAATATTGACCTCCTCTCTCTCGTCGGGTTTTTTTCTCGTATCCTTTTAGCTCTGTTTGTTTTTCTGAATTTCTCTCCTCCCGCGCTCGTCCTGTTTTCATCACGTAATATTTCAACATGCCCTTTAATGCTTTGATCTGAGTGTCACTCTCCTGCGTTCAGACGACAACATGTTGACAGACAGGTCAAAGTTTACACTGATTCGTTTATGACGAGCTCCTCAAGCTGTAGTTTAAGGCCCGGGCTAACAACGCTAACTCCATGTTGTTGTTTGCGATGTTCCGTCTTCATCGACTGACTCTCAGTTTAAAACACACGGCAGGTTGTCAGGCTCATAGTCTGAATATTCAGTCTCTAGTTTCAAGTCTTCTTCAAACAGCTGATGTTTGTCCTTGAGCTCAGTCAGGCTTCACCAAATATGAGCCATGTCTCAATTCAGGGGCTTCATTTGAAGGTCGATAACATCACAGCGATGAGACTAGACTGTCCGACTTGAGGCGATCGACTTGGGTTCATTGCGTCCAAGATGGCGCTGGACAAAATGGCAAACTCGAGGCTTCAAAGTGGAAGCTCACAAACCACTGAGTGACGACACAGTGGGTTTGACGTTTGAGTGAAAGCTGAGAATCATGAATTCCAGTTTCCAGTGATGATACTTGAGCTGCTGCTTCAGAGCCGATTCCTCAGTTTCAGTCAAACATCGACAAACAGAGAAACGTCTGAAGTTTCCCATCAATGATTTACAGTTTTCCAGGAAATGCTGCTGCTACGTCGCTAATGTTCACGTTAGCAGCTCTTACTCATTAATCCCACAGAACCTTCTTGTTCTTCTTCTGCTCGAGTTAGAAGGTTAAGCAGCTCCTTCTTCTTGTTGAGCGACCGTCTCCACCACCAGCTCCCGACTCGCTGCTGCTTCATCACATTACTGATGTGAAGACTTGGTTTCAGGGCAGGAAACAAAAAATCATCTGTGGAAGAACCAGTCACTCAGAGATAGGATTAATGTCAGATGCTTCACTCGTTTGATGTTCTGACACCCGGACTGCCAGTTAGCTTCAGGTGCACACTCCACCGACCAACCATCTGTCTGGAACTAATCCCTCCATCAGGTGACACGTCACAGCCAGATGTAGAACCGAACTAAAAACAGTATCGATGATAAAAATCCTTTGTTTTTATGCTTTTATATGTTGTGTGTCATGTTTTTAATTGTCGTGTTGTGTCGTCACTCAGACTGTCTGTTCAAGGTTTGTCCCATGAGTCGGTACTCGGCTCAGAAACAGTTCTGGAAAGCCAAACAAGCCAAACATGAGAAGGACAAGATCGCTGACGTGGTCCTGCTGCAGAAACTACAGGTAACACACACACACACACACACACACACACACACACACACACACACACACATACACACGCACGCACGCGCACACGCACACACACCTTGTGCTGCTTTCTGCTAGTGTCAACAATGACCTTGCTGTCATCACGCGTGCACACACATACACACGAACACATTTCACAAGAATATTTTTCTTAACAATCTGATTCAACAGAACCACACCCGACCTGTCAGTGTGTGTGTGTGTGTGTGTGTGTGTGTGTGTGTGT